TACAAACCACTCAATTGCAGGAGGGATACAAGGACAATCCTTTGATCCATGCAAAACTCAATCTTGATTTGTGGTTGGAGACAGAAATATCCGGTAAACCCAATAAAAATCAAATTTACAGTATTTCAAACAATAGAACCAAGGATTTGTGAACGGGTCATAATGTATCAATTATTGGATGCTCGCTACAAGTTTTGAGCACTCAATCTCCAAAGTTCTAGACAAATCTAATATAAGTTCAAGCTCTGACAACTTGGCTTGTTGTTGAAACAAAACAAATTAGTCCTACGACGATCGAATTATTGTCAAACATCGATGGTACTCGTGGTCAATCTCATTGTCCTCATGGTCCCGTCGAAGGCACTGCTATTCCTTCTTTTTTAACCTTTGTCCTCTTGATGACTTGTATTCAAATTGATAATTTTATTTGAATTTTTTAATTTATTTATTTGGATTTAAAAAAAAAACTTATTGACGAACTAAGTTCACTAGGAAGTTCTGAAGAGTTAAAAAAAATTACATGAAACTCTATGTATTATTGCAGAGTTAAAAAAAAAATTAGATAATCCAAACAAAATAAATATGTGTTACAAAAAGTTGAAATAAAATTGCATGAAATGTCACTATAATACATACATCACCGGCAAGTTAATTTTAATAAAATATAAATCATTGATGAAATTATAAACTTTTGATAAAATAACTAATATAATATAAATAATCAATAATATTTTTTTTGACAAACAGTAATACTTATGATTCCATCGGTAAAATTATTTTATGCAATTAAGTTGCTATACATGTTTATTTATTAGTGTTTGGAATCTGAGTAGCTCCTTGGAAATAATGTATCTCTTTTATTTATTATGTGGGCTACACACACACTCTGTATCATGACATCAAAAGGCTGCTGGAAAGAAAGTGGCAGGTTAGTACAAGCATGCACTGAGCATAGTTATAGCCCGAACTTCAGAAATTTAAAAAAAAAAAAACATTATTTTTAATAAATAAATAAATAATATATTTTAAATTAAGAAAATAAATTTCATTTAAATTTAATTAGGTCAGCCTAATTAAATCAATAACTCGGGTTAGATTTTAAATTAAAAAATCATTAAGCTGAATTGGGTTAAATAGCTGTACTTTAATTTTTGTTTTGAAACTTAAAAAATGTAGTTTATATATATAAAGGACATTATTTTAGATAAAATAACTTAAATAATATAATTTTAAATAAAAAAAAAAGTGTTGATAAATGTTATTCAAGTTTTAACCTGATAAACTGCTCAAATAGTTTAAAATCAAATCAGACCCCGGCCAAGTTTTGGACCGAAGAGCTGCCAAGCCAATCTACTAGACCGGATTTAATAATTATACAGAATATCACCAATCATGGACAGTCACGATTAATGAAGGACAATCCAATGGCGCAAAGCCTGCTAATCTTTTCCAATGGTATCATAACCTGCGGATACTAGTGGCGGATGGTGCAATGGTTTCAAGTCTCAACGTCAGTATGCGTATTCCAAATGAATTGATGAAGACCGCCGTGATTAGTTATGTTACAGCATCTAGCCAGCGGTGGCGACCACGGTTTGCTAAGTTTCTTTCTCCGTCTATCAGCTTAAGAATTGCTAGCATTCAACCTCACGAGAGGCTGCCTACACAAGTTGCTCTTCACGAGAGGCTGCTTACAAATGCCCAAATGGCATTGTCAGTTCGGTTTCGATTTTTACTATAAAATAACTGAATCAAATCCAGTTGATTTAAACCCGTTTTGATTTAGTTTTATTTTTTATATTTTATAAAAATTTAATTTGGTTGTTTTTACAAGTGAAAACCGAAATGCCACCCTCTAATCCACTGCACCATCTCTCAAGCCCGTTGCGGCTAATACAGTGCACCGAGCTTCCTTGTTGGCCGACATAGAGCGTCCCAGTAGACTTTGATTTCATGAAGTTCGCCAGCCAGAGATGCGGTTAAGGCCGATAGCTTCCTTGTTGGCCGACATAGAGCGTCCCCGTAGACTTTGATTTCATGAAGTTTGCCTACTAGAGATGCGGTTAAGGTTAAGGCCGATGGTTTTTACCTTGCTGCTAGAGGAATGGTATCAGCTGGTGGCCCGATTCGAGATGATGCGGACGAGAGAATTTGCTTACAACATTGGCTGCTGTTCGTTCTCGTGTGACTCCAATTTGAGGTATCTGCGTAGGTTGAAAGCCTTTCCTCGTGTTCTGTATCATCTTGTGTTCTATATCATGAGCCTAATGATCACAGGAGTGTAAATTCCAGGACCATCAATGGAGTGCGAATCCTGAGACCTGTCAGATTCCCAAGAACTGGTGGTGGTCTTGGGTTGCTTGGTTCCTTTCACCATCTATTTGCTTAAGAATTGCTAGCAATTAACCCAGAAATTCATAATGCTTAAGCTGTATCTATCAGCATAAGAAAGAGACAAACATAAAAGATTAAAGAAAATATCTCATCCGAATCCATGAAAAATGACAGAAACACATCTCTTTCTCAAAGAATTATTATTTTTAATTCCCTCCGCAATGTTTCCATCCTGTATAGTTAGAGTTGAACATGGTAGGATTTCTCACATTCAACCTCCTAATTCTCAACTTGATAATCATAGAAGTATTAGAGCAACTCCAAGGCCTTTGTTAAATGGAAAGTCAAAAATAAAAATATATTATTTTAACTCTCATGTTTTACAGGCTCCAAAGGGCCGCTAAACAATGCATTTTCTATCCCAATTAATTTTACATCTCTCAAAAAAAAAAAAAACCAAAACCAACAATAAAATAAATCAATTAAATACAATCATATAAAAAAATTAAACTCAATAAAAAAACACTTATTTCTTTCATTTCAATATAAATAACTTTTCAAATGGTTTTTTTCATTAAAACATACATAATAATAATAAATAAATAAATAAAAACTATATCTATTCTATTTAAAAAAATATATTATTTTAAAAAAATTATTTTTAAAATCAATATATCAAAACAATTTAAAACACAGTTAATTTAAAAAAAAACATAATAAATATCTTTTATATAACAGTAAAAATATATTTGAGAATATAATTATACTCCAGTTATTTTTTAAAATGTTATTCATTTCAAATCATATTAAAATCATATTATTTTATTTTTTTGAAAATTATCATCATGTAAAACATTAAAATAATTTTAAAATATTAAAAATATATTAATTTAAAATAAAAAACATAAAAAAAAAATTAAAAAGAAGCTTCTGAAACTTGATGCACGACCTAATGCAGCATTTCAAACTGCGTTTATCTGGTAAAAAAACATATTTTTTTATGCTTTTTCAAGCCACGTTTGAACAGCATAGACAACAGCCTAATAAATCTTACTCAACCATAGCAATTGCAACGTGAAAAGGAACAGAAATCAATACTCATCATCATCATCATCCTCGTATAACCAAAAAACATTAACAAAAGGGAAGCTCAAAATGTTATGGAATAGCAAAGAATTCAAATTAAAAGCGAAAGCAAAGGCAATCATGTGTGATTAATAAGTAAATCATAGCCCTTTATCTTTATGAGCAGCTGCCTTTTTGTTGGCATAGCTCTTACCATGAAAATCAAGAAAAAGAGCCAAGAGTGAAGCATTGAAAACAGCATTGAAGCACCAACCCCAGATTCCTGAGCAACCTGTTCCTGTAAAATGGTAGTACAGCATCAAGCCCGATATGGCAAAGCTAAAAACGAACTGCACAATCTGGCAATCAGTGACCAGTCTTTTCCACTTTGGCCTCACACCCATTGCACTCCACAGGTAGTAGTAGTACATTACCACATGTACCAAAGAATTGGTGATTAAGGCCACTGGAAACAATGACTGTGAAGTCATTAGCCACAAGTAGCACATGACCACCACCGTTGCGTGGTGGTAGACGTGGAGAAATGTGAGGCGTTGGATCGAATTGCTCAAGATGATCAGAAGGGTGTCAACAAATTCAAGAATCTTGGAGAGGTAGAATATGTAGGCCCAGAAAAAGAGGGGCCCAGATTGAGGGGTGTGGGGAGGGAAGCAAATGATGTGGTGGAAGTGAGGGCGGGCGGTGGGGGAGATGATGGAGAGGGTGCAGCCGAGGGCCATGATGAAGGAGAGAAGGAAGAGGACGAAGCTGTGGAGGGCTGTGATTGGTTTGAGGATGTGGGGTCTTCGGAGGGAAGAAGGGAGAGGGATTCGGGAGAGAAGGAATGTGAGGAAGAGGTAGGCGGCGACTGTGAGGGCGAGGAATTGGTAGGAGGAGCCAAAGGTTTGGCCTGGGGTCCAGGAAAAGTGCAGGATTCTTGGGTGGTTCACTAGCCAGTACTGAAGGGTAGAGAATAATCGGTTCATCTTGAGGAGAATCACGCGCCGCCTGCAGTGTTGTGGATGGGCGACGGAGATTGGAATGGGAAGAGTCTAGCTTTATGGAAGTGGATGGTGTGTGGTGGTTGCGGACAAAGGCTATCTTTTAGATGTTGACAGGCAGGCTAGTCTCTTGTTTTAATGGAGATATTATTATTAGTAAATTAACCACCTGTATTTAAAAAAAAAAAAAAAGCCCTAAACGTGTTCATCTGAAAATGAAGTATAATAGCGCAGGAGATTGTGTGCTAGCGGTGGATGGGCTTGTTTATAGGATATTTAATAAATTTAAAAATTAATTATAATGTATATAAATTAATTTGAATATCTCGAATTATAAAAAAATATATATAATAAAAACATATTCTTTTTTTCCCTTAATTTATAGGTTTGTAATTTGTATTAAGTTTAAATCTTGGAAATGTAATTTAATTTAAAACTTAATTTAAAATAATATCTAAATCAAGCGAGTTCAACAATTACGATGCATATGCCTTGGAGTTTCCCGCAAGACCATATGGTAAATAACTGTGAATGCAAGAACAACAATGCGCAAACTGAAACTATGTTTTAGTGATTGCATTTGAAGACTGCTGAAAGAAAAGGCTCAAAATCAAACTTCCAATTTATTGAAATCACCAGTGCCGACCTACACAGCTTGGAATGCTGTGTTACAAGTGCAAGCTGTGCCATCAAAAACAAAACAATGAGTACAGGAATCTATAACACATCCTTTCCCCCTAAAAACTAATCCTCGCAAAGGTTCTTATGCTGGTGTCATTTGGAAACACCTCTCTGTCTCTCTGCAGTGGCATATGGGAATCATGGTGAAACTTCTATTGGCTTATTTTTTATGGCCAAAACCATGCTGACGTTTCTATTGCCTGAAGGGAGCAAAATTGGAAGGCAACAGTAATTCAATCAATCTACGTTAGGCTTCACTTGCAGACACCTTCTTCCGCACAACCCTCTTTCTACGGACCTTTAGTGCTGGTGATTCCCCGTTAATGGAATCAGCATCGCCTTGTTTTATGCCAAGGAGCCCGAGCCCAGAAACTAGAGCTTTCTTAGAGATAAACCATTTAGAAGATGACACCGTAGCATCCCCTGAAGACAACCTGTTGTAAGCCTTCAAAAGGTCATCTGACTGAACCACAGGATCTGGCTCTAGCCCTAGCCAAGCTAGCCTTGATGTCTCTCCTACTTGGGCATTTAAAATCCTGCGGCGGATGCAAAACAAAAGAAAATATCAGCAACTGAACGATTTCACAGGTTTTATTGAAGGTTGGTAGATTGGAACCAAGTGAGTTCGCGTGGTGTGGTCAGATCAAAATCACAGCAAATCTCCGATTGACAGAAAAACATAATGCACACAGTTGGAGATCAAGAAATATGTTGTAATTAAAACTTGGTTCCAAACAAAAAGAGGCACACAGCCCAGGGAATCCTGATGATTGTGAAAATGATCTCAACAAAAGATAGGAGAAACATCAATACTTAAAGCCTAAGGGTCAACACGTCAGTTTTTTTTTCTCGGTCCACAAACTCTATCCTTTCCTTTCTTTCTTACTTTCTTTCCCCATTTAGTTGGCTGTAAGACATTTCTGCATAACATTGATTCCCTTTATGTTAACATTAAGATGACCAAGAGACCTGAGACAAATATGTATATTACTTTGCCAATATTTCAACCCTAAATTAAGAAATGAGTCAGAGATCATCAGAAAACGAAGCATATGTGCTATCAATACTATTTCAAAAGCATAGAAAATGTATAGCAATAAATCTCAAGAATCATGTAGAAAGGTATGAAAAAATCATGTCTTTTTAAGTAGGAAGAAGCAAACCTCAAAGCTGTGCTGAAAACCAATGCCACTCCAATGACATCAAAATGATTGACCACTGCTCTATCAATTCCACATAATAGCTGGTATCTCAGGTTCGCATAAAGTCCAAGGAAAGCACCATAACCAAGAGCATAGGTACTCACAGGTGGGATTGTCACAGATAACCTGCCAAACAAGCAAAAAGAAAGCCCAGAGTCGTCGTAATTAAACTGATTTACAGAAAAGAGACAGTTTAGCCGCTAAGAGTCAGTTTTTTTCTATTCTTTATATTAAAAAGGAAAGGCTAAAGTTTGGAGGCATTGTTTACCTATCCTTTTTACGGGCCAAAAGATTTGTCAAGGAACCTTGCATTGCCCCAGCAGTTAATCCAACCATACATAACTCCGCAGCCTTATAGAAGAACGATTGGATTCTCTTCTGCAAGTCAAATTCTCTAAGAGGGTAACTCTTTTCAAAGATATTGTTAGGAAGCTTCTGCAATGTATTTTGCAAATCAAACTGGAATGTGTTTCCATAAGAACGACAAGGAGCAAGTGACCAAACAACAAGGGCATTGCATGCTGTTACTGTTAGCACATTAATAAGGGCCAGATCCCATTCTTGTTTTATCCTGTAATCAGAATAACGAAAATATTTATCACTTCAATACCAGATGACAAAATTAGCTGATCTTTGAATTCCAATATTAGAGCAAGTAACAAATACCTATCCTTGCGATTTTTCAACTCCCACCAAACAGAGCAACCAATTGTAGCAGCCTGCTCCAAAAGAAGCCTATATAAAAAGGCAGGGTCCGCAATCATCCTGTAAAACGGAGGATCAAATCTTTAAAAATCAGAAAACATGATAGCTATCTTCCCAACCACATGTTCAAAGGGTAATCTTATATACATACAGAAGGTAATATATTGAGAGAGTCGTGCTATATTCACACACACAAAGTATCAAATGGTGCGACAAATAAGAAAAGCAGAAAAAAGATGATGCAAAATTTCTTTTGGGATCAACAGTTAAGATAGAATGTTAATCCCACCCATGCTTGACACTCCTATACTATGGCAAGACTGCACCAGCTATGCAGAGCTTTAAGTTTTCAAGAAATGTTCTCTATACAATAGAATACAAAGTTGCAGCCTCATGAAGGATGTATAGTATGACATCATTTACCAAAAAAGGTCTGAGCTTTGCAATAAATCAATGCATGGCTCTGTCCCAAACTTCTAATATAGTGGGTAAAGGAATAGTATATCTTATAATGGAACAGAAACGAGTGCCTAGCAAATTGAACAGCAGAATCTGCAAACTTAGATTATGAAACAAACTATCAACCGTATGAAGCAGCCTGATTTGGTGAGATAAACATAAAGGAACGCAAAATTTATTGTTTAGAATAAATTTTTAATATCAGTTGTCCAGAATTTGCAGCCCATCCCAGTGACTGAAAAGTGTAGTACTACTGCCCCCATCTCCCCATTGATCAAATGAAAAGGAAGAACTTGAAGCACCAAAAAGATTGATAAACTAAGCCGTACTGTTAGCAATGGTGAAAACAAGGTCAGATGAGCACCATATCCAAGTTACCTGCCAATAAATGCCCTAGAAATTGCTTGAGGAAGTGCTCTGGATATAAACCTAGTAGTCGTTGGTCTGGCATTTATTGCTAGGAATTTTACCATTTGAGCTGAGCTGACCAAACCCTGGAAGCAATACTACAGTAAGTACCTAGCCACAGAGCAACCAGTCAAAACAAAATAATAAGACAGGTACCACACCATTTCATAAGCTTGTCGGAACCCTGCAGGCAAGTCCATCATTGTTTTGTGCCACTCATTCAACACTGCATCAACAAATTTTCGATCGTAAAGCTGCCAATAGAAAAATAAAAATGGAAATTAAGGTCACGCCAAAGCATTTGCACAGAAAATATTTGCATCATCATAAAAGATGTGTTAATAAGTAGTCTCTTTGACAGCATTCCAACCTCTTCAAGAAATAGCCTTCTCCTAAATAATCCTCCCTCTTCACCCTCATCACCATCGTCGAAGTCATCAAAGTAATCATCATCATCACCATCATCATCACCTCCATCACCACCACCATGATTGATATGCTTTCCAATGTCTCCACCGCCTCCCCCAAGAGCAACCTGAAATTTTCAAAAAATTTAAGGACCTTGTCATGGACCCTTCAAACCTTGGCTGATGAATATTCTTAGAAGGCATATCCGAAACCAATTTGACCAGCACATGGATAATTACTGAGAGGTGAGTGGTGCAATTCAGAGAAGAAAGTAAGCTTAATTTTTTTTCTACATGTTGTAGGACAAAGATTGCAAATCCAAAATGTTAAGTCATTAAATAAAAAGCATGTACAAGTGCAAATTTTGCCATTGTGCTCTTGGCATGGTGAATAAACATGCTAAATCTGAATTTCTCAGCATGTGCTATTAGTTTAAAAAGAAAATCAGCAAACTTTCTTATAAATTTAGAAACCATTACAGGCACTTCACTGCTAAAAGCAAAACAGTCCTGCAGGTAGGGAACGCAAGTGGAAATAAATTTACTGAGGGCTGTATTATGGTTTTGTTGTACTAACGTTTGTCAAGTCCACCAGGTGAAGGGGATCATGCGTGATTGTGCCATGGACCATATTAACAGTACATGTGATCTACATCACAGGAATTATAATCCATCTCATAAAGCTAAATCTAATATGCACGAGGATTTAGATGGTCCAATGACAAGAGCGAGAACGAAACAACTACAAAGGGCCTTAACGAGCCAAATTGAAATGATTAAAGCTGCATTAGAGTTAAAAATTAACAATCTATTTGAAATTGGTTCAAAAGTGTTTATTTGCTTACAATTGGAACTTAGAGATGGGAAAAGCCCTTAATGGTTCTTTTGATGTTGTTTATGATCAGAATAGTAAATGAATTTGAAACCGAATTTGAAGTCATCCATTGCATGTGAAAACAAGACTAATCTAGGTGGATTTCAAGTTCAGAACGTGATCTTTCTAGATTATCCAACCATGATTGCATTGGACTTTTGTGCAAGAAGTTATAGCTGTTTTAAATTTGGTCCGTCTATGTTTCAGTTAAGGTCAGAAAACGTGTGCTAGTTAAATTTATCTAGTTACTTTGTCAAAGTCTAATTTTTGGGCTTGACTTCTGTCATGTTGAATTTTCCTAACTATGAAGGGATATTCTAATTATAAATATAATATCAAATATGTAATAAACACTTTTGGCCAAGATTTAAAACTTAATTAAGAGAATTAAGAATTGTTCTTCTAAATTGATTTTGTGAAGAACCCTACCTGACTTATCACTCTTCAATCACAAAGAGTGTGGCATTGAAATCCTAGATTGATCTTTGTGGCGTCCAGATCAACTATTTAAAGTATCATTCTAGTCTATCCTCCATTTTATTTACTTTAAAATCACTACAATACAGCCTAAATACCAAAAGAAAGACAACACAACCAGACCCATCCTTCATCCATTTTCATTAGATTCATTGTTGCCAATTTTTGAATCATTCACAGCACATCATCGATTGGATTATAGTGATTTTAAGGTAAATAAGATGGAGGATAGACTAGAATGATATTTTGATGAGTTGATCTAGACGCCACAAAGATCAATCTAAGATTTCGACACCACTCTTTGTAATTGAAGAGTGATAAGTCAAGTAGGGTTATTCACAAAAGCAATTTGGAAGAACAATTCTTAATTCTCTTAATTAAGTTTCAAATCTTGGCCAAAAGTGCTTATTACATATTCTGATACTATATTTATAATTGGAACATCCCTTCATAGTTAGGAAAATTCAACATGGCAGAAGTCAAGCCTAAAAATTAGACTTTGACAAAATAACTAGACAAATTTAACTAGCACACGTTTTCTGACCTTAATTAAAGCATAAACAGACCAAATTTAAAACGGCTATAACTTCTTCCACAAAAGTCCAATGCAATCATGGTTGGCCAATCTAGAAAGATCACGTTCTGAACTTGAATTCCACCTAGATTAGTTTTGTTTTCACATGCAATGGATGACTTCAAATTCAGGTTCAAATTCATTTACTATTTTGATCATAAACAGCATCAAAAGAACCATTAAGGGTTTTTCCCATCTTCAAGTTCCAATTATAGGCAAACAAGCACCCTTGAACCATTTTCAAACAGATTGCTAATTTTTAACTCCAACACAGCTTCAATCATTCCAATTTGACTTGTCAAGGCCCTTTGTAGTTGTTTCATTCTCACTCGTGTCATTGAACCATCTGAATTCTTTTGCATTTTAGATTTAGCTTTACGAGATGGATTATAATTCCTATAGTGCACATCAACATGTTTTGACGTTAGCTTTTTGAAATAAGGATCTAATGGTGTTCTGAGCTTTTTGAAATAAGGATCTAATGGTGTTTTGAGCCTGATCATGAATCATCTTAGTAATTGAGAATAACATGTCTTTTAGTCATTAAATCTTTTAAATTTCATCATTTCAGCAGTCAGAGATTCAACGTAACAATTGAAATTAGCATTACCAGAAACTCAAACATATCTCTCTTAACTGGTTGATCTAGTTTCGTATTTCTAAAACAACAGTCAGACAACCTTTGATCCTCGTTACCTCATAAGAAAATACTCTAAATACCAAGCCCATCCCTTTGTTCATTGGTAACTCAAATAATCTTGAAACATCAAAATACAGCCCAGTCAACAGCTAGAGGCATACTAACAGGCCAATGCTTCTTCTTTTCCTTTTTTCCTTTCATTTACCTTCATGCATTGTCTAAACTCCAAAGAACTCTCCCTTAATATACCACTGAAAATGTACCATCTGTATGGTGAGATTCAGTGCTATACAGAATCACGTCCAGTGAAACTTCAGAGGAAGAAGCACAGAGGATCTTAAAGATTTATTACATTTATAAAGATTCAGAACAGTCCTCTGTATTTTAGAAAGAAAAAATAAAGGCATGGAATTAAATAAAGACACTAGAATAACAACACTGTAAGATGTTTTTGAACCCATCTAATACTCCTAGAATATTTTCTATAATGTACTGTCATTCACTAACACTTCCTCTCTACAAAACAATAGCCTTAGCCTTTGAATATAGCTATAACTTCCAACAAGATTTCAAATTTCTAGTATAATATTTTGCCGCTTATTTTTCCCCTACTCTCCCATCCTCCATCGCTCGAGTTACATCATATATATTGCACTAAATCGATTATCTATGGCATCCTTGCTAACAGCTATTCTTGCCCCTATAGTTCAAAAGGTCCAAGGTGCTTAAGAAGAGCTAGTTTCCGCTAGGGAA